AATATTTGCAGATGGAGGAAACAATCCGGAGAAATATGGGTGAACACTAACCAGTCTATATCATATAATGGAGATACCGCTGATTTTTGAGTTTTAAATTTGTTGAGTATTTAGAAAGGGTTAGCTACTGATAAAACTCAATTCTATAATTAGATCAAAGTTCAAAGTAAAACACAAAGTAGGAATGGGCTACACCCACTTTGAGGTTGTACCTTGTCAAAAAACATCGCCCCCCCCAGTGGCACAGCGGTATGTCTGTGGACTTACAACGCTAGAATCCGGGTTTCAATACCCGTGGTGGGCAGAGTACATATAGCCCATTGTGTAGCTTTGTGCTTAATTACGAACAAAAACCAACAAGTGTTATAAGGTTATCCCACCAATTCCTACCTTGTTTCCTTTCTTTTTGGTGATCCCTTTCCTACTTCCTAATTTTTTAATTATAAATATTTTACACTAGTCTCTCGAGAGTGACTGGGCTCCTTCTAGTAGCTTTTCTTAGATATATCTTTCGACTTATCCTGGCTTTTTCTGATATCTTTTCTATAGTTTTTCTTCCACCTATCCAGGGTGGCAGCCTTTTCTTTGACTGAATTAATGGCTAAAGTATATTTCGCATATTCAGCATTACTGTTTCTAACCTTATTTCTATTCTTGCTGTAATGCTCTCTTCGCTGGGACAAAGAATTTTCAAGGTTATCAACACAAGATTTTCTTCATTTCTCTAGTTTTGTTTCCTTGAAAGGCATATTTTAAAATAGCACTGTTTCAAGTACAACCTTAGATGTCAATAGGTCACACTTAATTTGAAAACAATGCAAAGGTAAATTCTACAATTTATTATTCTTGTTTTCAGCCCAGAACGCTGCTCAAGCAAAGCAGTGTTAGACTTCGGCAGTGGTAGCGTTCGTTCTCACGTAGAAGACTCACGTCTTAGGTACCGACTGCTATGATAGAATTGCTTTCTCCAATACAGAACTCTCGAGTCAGATGTATAGAACTGAAAACTTCGCTTTCAAAAGTTATATCATTGTTAGAATCTAGATCTAGAAAATCTATGTAGTCCTTGTTTGTTTTTTCTTTTTATCTAGCTGATACAGCTGTAGGCTGATCACATAGCACGTGCTCATAAGCAATCGTGCAACCACACGTGATATGAGGGTGGGTTGTTAATTGGCAACTCACAGAGCGCACTCATAATCCTATAATATGGCTACAAGTGTATTGTTAGCTCATGAGTAGTGCTTCAAAGTGGTTATTGCTATTACCGAGGTTATAAGTAAAACAATGAAAAACACTTTTAGCCAAGGTAGCGTAATTCAATCATGTTCATTTAAATTTGCGTAAGGTGAAGGCAGGAGAGAACTATGCTTTTCCAACAACGCTAATCAGTCAGACTGACAAATTTGTGGTTTTGATAAATTTTAGTTTTTACTCTACTGACTTTCTTAAGTGCTTTGGTGGCTTGTTACTCTGTATTTGGTTTGTTTACTACTCAAAAGTGTGTGTAAAGTGCTTATAAAGGTATGCTTACATGCTGTTTGCAGTGTGTTTGATATTTTAATCTGTACTGCACGTCTGGCCTATTCCTACAATAAGTACTATCGTACTTATGATAAGAGATCCTGGATAGTCACTGTTCAGACTAAGATTAACTTTAGTAAGCCAGCCTGTAGAAGGTAGAGCATCATTAAGTAATATCCACTGTAACCATATCTTACTTCTCAGCTAGAAAGATAACTTCTTTCTATCTTAATTACAAAAGTTGTGAGAACACCTAGAACAATAATATTATCACTAATTATTATGATGTGAATGCCTTTTACCAGCTGGCGAAGCATGATTATAACTAATTACTCTAATCATAAGACATTGATATTTAGCCTATTACATTTTTAAGCACTACATTATTAATCTAGTTCCTTATGGATTTTCAGTAATTCGAAGAGTGTATAATAATAGTATTCCAACCACATTATATTCGCCTTATCCATTGCCGACGACGTGTTTCGCTCAGTCCAGAGCTATTCAGGCCGGTTGAGACTCAATAAATACAATAGTGATTGGACACTATTTATATAAGCCATTTGTTACAACAAGAATTGTTATAGTGTGAACGCCTTTTAAAAGCTGGCGAAGCATTATTATAACTAATTCCATGACTAGATAAAGGCCCCTCAGTGGCACAGCGGTATGTCTGCGAACTTACAACGCTAGAAACCGGGTTTCGATACCCGTGGTGGGCAGAGCACAGATAGCCCTTGTGTAGCTTTGTGCACAATGGAAACAAACAAACATACAAGACTAGATAAAGGATGTGGTGTTAAAAAAATAAAATTGGCCTAATACTAATGTCTTATGACAAGTGTAATTACTTAAAATCATGCTTCGCCAGTTTGTAAAAGGCTTTCACACCATAACAATTGTTATTGTAACAGATGGTTTACATAAGAAGTGTTCCTACCAGTACTGTATTTGTTGTATCCCAGCCGACCTGAAGAGCTCTGGATTCAACGAAACGCATTGTCAACAACTGATATGGCGAATATAATTTGGTTAGTATACTATCATTATACATTATTCTAATTCTTGAAAATCCTTAAGGGACTAGATAATAATCTAGTATTTATAAATAAAATAGACCTTGTGACATTAATATTATCACTGACTTTCTGACGCTCACCTTTCAGATGCATCAATTTCGTGATTTCCGTTTCAAAAGGTTGTGTACATATAAAGGTTTGTATTTGTGTTAAAGTTCTATGCAAAAGGAAAGAAAAAAAACATTTCTTTGAACTTACTTCTTTATATAAAGTGCTTTGAAGTAGTTGGAACTCTCTTGTTTATATTTTAGGTTCGAAGTACAGTTATTTCTAACAATATTTTACACAACATTCCAAACACTTTTACCTACAAAACCACAAAGCTTGATCTACATTACCACACGGAGCTTACTTATAGAACCCTTCACTTGATTTTATCTACAGTGCCCTCTACAAAGTTTGATACATTAACCAACGTTGTGATATACTTAGAAAACTTTTCGTCTGACCTATAGAACCTTCCAGGAGCTTGAATCTAAAGTTTCCTTCACATAATTGACGTTACAGATCACTTTAAAGTTTGATTTACAAAAAACCTCCATAGTATTTGGCCTGCAGTACCTTCCCTAAAGTCTGTTTTACAGAATCCTCAACAAAGTTTAATATAAAACCTTTCAGAGTTTTGATCTACAGCATCCTCCATAGAGTTAGTCTATAAAACATTCTGATTACACAACAGATTTTACAACGCTGGAGTTACAGAATTCTGTACAAATTCCTCATCAGTGGAGAGCGTTGTGCAGGATCTAATTAAATAACACACGCACTCAATAAACTTTCCTCGGGCTGATCTGTACGCAACGTTCTAAATGGTTTAATTACAGAATTCTTCACTGGATTAAGGTTCCCTGTTTTCGATACGTTGTTGAGCGGTCCCGCTGGATTAGCCTTAGACGTCTTGGGTAAAATGAAAACCAATTTATGTATGTGTGTGTATGTTACACACACAGCAACAACATCAAGTGTTAAAATCTACAAAATAGATACTGTCCATCAAAAGCAATACCAGCCCAGAATTTATCAATAATAGTGAAATGAAAGTTTTTACTTTAGCAATACTTTCCGCCAGAAAGTGAGAAGAGGTAAATACGGCACTTATAAGCCAGAAAGTAACTATGTAAAAGATTCACCAATTTTCATTAAAATTATTCGTATTCATTTAAACATCTGTTTGTTTTATGTTCTGGAATTTTCGTGCAAAGCTGTACAAAGACGTAAAGCCGTCCCTAATTGTGAACTGATAAGACTTGTAGAACAGCAGCTAATCAACAGAACCCACCGCCAACTTTGGGCTACCGAATAGTGTGAGAGGAGAATGTTTTCGCGGCAACGAGACGTGAACCATAAGGAGCACTTTGATTTACGGTTCGGGTACGCTACCACCAAGCCACGCCCGGTCCTCATTTCAGTGTAACTTACGTTTGTTTTGTTTGTTTGATGATTTGAGAGGAATACAAAAAACAAACCTAAAAATTTGTTAGGAGACATATGTTGGCATACACAACACTTAGCAAAATGTCACGTCATCGAAATATTAAAAACACGAAGTAAGGACTAAGAAACTGACGACTGATCTAAGCTCTGTTTGTGGTGTACTGTAACAGTGTGGAATACCCACTTGTAAATGTAATATTGTCATGAAAATATTAAAATTTGAAGTAAGGATTGACAATATAATGATTGATATATGCTCTTTTTGTAATTTACCATGATTCGGCCAACAATAAATGTAATCAGTTCACTAAAGTGTGTGAATGAATGATGTGCGCGAACCAACAAATAGGTTACCATGTGGTTGAACTTCACTTTGACAGTACAGAGAGCAGAGCTTTGGTTCAAGAAGCGCCATTTCACATAGGATGTAAATAAACAAATGTATGTTGTCAGTATACATAAGGAACAGGTATTGCAATGAACAAATTTTAAAAATATGTAACTTTATTCTACATGACGTACTATAAAATATACATTTCAAACACTATGGTTTGAATTTCATCTTTTGCGAAGTTGAAGAAACAGATTTTTTTCGGGAATACTAGAACTGTTCTCAAGATGACCTCTTGACCTCTGTCCAGCTATCATTCAACAAAAAATAGACTAAAGTAGATGTACTTGTTCTTCACAAGTACTTTCAGCAGCTGCTGGTTATTGGCGGAACATTATTCCTTCATGTCATTAATTAAAACACAACAACAAGAACATAAAAGTTTGTAACAAAGTCACAAGGTAATGAAAAACACAATCACAGCTTTTATTTGCCACCAGCTTGCATGATTCGTAATCTGACAATTCGGCCAATTCAGTAAATTCCTCTCCCAGTATGTCAATGTAGTCAACATCGACAGGCAGTGTTGTGAAACCGGTTGCTTTGTCCGAGAATAACACGTCGTTGCTGTCGTCCAATGATGAGCCGAAGAGCCGAAAAGAAGTACTATTTCCGCCAAATAAGTGACCAGCGTTAATAAAAAACTCAACCGCGTCCTTTCTGCTTTCATCGGTTGTGTCTTTCGTCATCATGACCTAGTCAAACACAAACGAAAATACTAGACGCAGAAAAATATGTTATCAAGCATTTTAATGGAATTCAAATAATTATTTATAAGACTTCTTAGCTATACTCGTCATATATAAAGAGAGAGAGAAAATAGTATTTATTAATGAAATATTTATGGTTCGAGTGTGATTTTTCCCTATACTACTTCTCGCACATTTCAATACAATCTGATATACATTAACGCACCGAATTTTACTATTAGATTGTTGGTTAGCATAGAATACATATATATATATTTCACCTCATTGAGCTTAAAAGTTAGTGCCCATATTCTTCATATTGGTTGTGGTGAGTAAATGGCAGTTCAATCATCATGTTTAAACTTTTTTCAGGATTTAAAAATTACCAGTAGATGGCACAACGGTACTATCAAGCTGTTGATGATGAAGAAGATGATGTTAATGAGAATAACTTACACAAATAGTTCAATACAGCAGATATGTTTTTGTAACAAAATATATCAGGTTTATACACATTACTGATTAGCCTAATACCGTTATGGAGATTCCATAACCTTGGAGCTGTATACTTACACAAGGCCCAGCTACATAAGCCAGGTTGCACTTTTCATAGTCTGTAACATTTCCCTGACCTCCTTGTAAACACAAAAGCTTATAATCGTTCGATCTAAATTTTTTAGACCATGAAACATCGCTGCGACCATCAATGTATCTATCAATTACATCATTCCTGACAAAAGCGACATCACCGCTCCTCTCCACCAAGCAACGTAGAGCACCGCTGTTACCATAGTAGCGTTCGAGCTCCGTGGCGTCACAAACATGATGTTCCTGGCCATCTCCTATGCACTGTTTGCAGAGAGTGGAGGTGGATGTGTTATCGATCACACCTAGATTTTGAGCTCCGGGTACACAGCTTTTGGAAAAGAAACTAGATATTAATTTCTCGTTTTCACAAAGTTCGGGTGTTATCATCTTATTTTTGATTAGAAGGCCAAGAGGAACGGTCCAACCAGAAGCATCCCCTACTGCCACGTGACAGGAACGTTTTCCTGTTGGAGAAAAATTTACAGAAAACTACTTCAGGGATCTACATTTAGTAAAATTAAAGTATGCTCTAAACGCAAATTATGACAATTAAAAAAGCAGACGTAAAACAAAGGTTTAACACATTTACCCCGTTAGCACTTGACAAATTACAGTTATGTATAACTTAGACCTAACATGACGATTTATCATTTCACTAATATATTATCTACCATAGCATAAGATCTAAATTCCTGCCTGTGTGTAAATATTTATTTTAAAATTTTGTCTTTGAGTTTAAACTTGAATTAATTAGTATTGTATGCTGACCAGCCGACTTCAAAGTATACCAAAAGATGGCACTTATGGCGATGTCAGAGGGAGACGAGGGGTAGCGAACACCACCGTAAATATCTGTCCGCCTCCATTTCACTGCAAACTTCAGATCACATAATACCATGTCTTCAACGAAAGTTAATCGGGATCAGGGAGGGTCAGGTGTTATTTAGACCTCTCCCCCCCTCATGCACTGGTGTCATTTGACCCGTTTTAATCGGCACCATTAATTGGGAAACACTGGTAAATGTTGAACATTTCATGAATGAGGACTCTTCTGGCACCAGGCAACTGTAGAAGAGAAACGTCATCCAATCCCTGATTAGTCGTTTTACCTTCACAACCAATCAGAATAAGAACTGGGAAGATTTGAAAGCTACTCATTGCGTAACTTTGACTTTGAATAAAAAAAAAAAAAAACGATTTGCAACAAAAATATTTCTACTTTAAAGTTTCCTAGTTTATCTTCCATAACTCTCCCATAATCCTATTGATATAAGGAAGTTAGCTTGATCGGAAGTTAGCTTGATATAAGGAAGTTAGCTTGATATATGGAAGTTAGCTTGATATAAGGAAGTTAGCTTGATATATGGAAGTTAGCTTGATATAAGGAAATTAGCTTCATATAAAGAAGTTAGCTTGATATATGGAAGTTAGCTTGATATATGGAAGTTAGCTTGATATAAGGAAGTTAGCTTGATATATGGAAGTTAGCTTGATATATGGAAGTTAGCTTGATATATGGAAGTTAGCTTGATCGGAAGTTAGCTTGATATAAGGAAGTTAGCTTGATATATGGAAGTTAGCTTGATATAAGGAAGTTAGCTTGATATATGGAAGTTAGCTTGATATAAGGAAATTAGCTTCATATAAAGAAGTTAGCTTCATATATGGAAGTTAGCTTCATATAAGGAAGTTAGCTTCATATAAGGAAGTTA